TCCTTGCGCGCGCCTGCCCGGCGGCCGCGCGCGCTCCCGCGGAGGGAGGGGAGGGGGGAGGCGCAGGCGCGGAGGTTCTGCGCCTGCGCAAAGCCTGCCGGGACGTCCTCGTGTCCGCTTCTCCCCCCCCCCGCAGCGCCGTGAATGGACTCGCCTGGACTCTCCGCTCCGGGCACGGCGGGCGCGTCCAAAGTCCGCCGGCGGGGGAAGGGAGGGAGGGAGGGAAGGAGGAGGGAGTTGGGAGTTGGGTGCTCTCCCTCTCCATGAGGAAACGAGGGCCTCGAGGCCGGGCGGCCTTCAAGCCATGCTGGGCTGCCACCATGCCGGCGTGGCCAGCGACCCCGTACCCTGGTCCCGCCGAACAGGGGCTGTGTCAGGCCCTGGCTGAGTTTCCCCAATGAGGTCTTGGCCACCCCTGCCTCACAATCCGGGGGCGAGCAGACCTCAGTAGAGACCCTCGGGCTGCAGCGAGGCCTTAGTCTCCCTGAGGGCTCAGAGGCCGTTCCTGTGCAGCCCAGCCGCAGGCGTGCCAGTGGCGGAGCTGCATAAGGGTGTATTTTTCAAGGCCGTGAGGGCAAACTGCTGGTTCCGTGGCACGTGTGGCTCATAGAATTATTTAGGTTGGAAAAGACCCTTGGGATCGTTGAGTCCAACCATCAACCCTACTCTACAAAGCTCTCCCCTACACCATATCCCCCAGCACCACATCTAAACGACTCTTAAACTCATCCAAGGATGGTGACTCAGCCTCCCTGGGCAGCCTATTCCAATGCCCAACCGCTCATTCTGTGAAAAACTCTTTCCCAATGTTCAGTTTAAACCTACCCTGTTGTAGCTAGAAGCCATTCCCTCTTGTTCTATCACTAATTACCACGCATTGCAGTGTGTAGCAACCTTATTAGCTGAGGAAGTTCTTCCTCTTCTGCAGAAACTTAGAAGTTGTCATTCAGGTACCTACTATGGGAGCTTTTAGGCTGGCTTCTCCTATTCCAGAAATGCTATTTAAATTACATTAGCAACCAAAGTTTGTATCCGGTAAAGCAGCATAATGTAACTTCTTGTGTAACATCGCTGCCAACACTTGCTTTGCTGGCTGATGGTGATGGAAGATATGCAATTTATTTGGAAGCTTGTCTACTAATAATTAAGCTTAGATAATATTTCCTTTTAGACTGCCAGCCTTCTGGACAGGGTAGCTTCTGTTATAAAATGCTGCAGTTCTGGTACTGCTGCGGAATTGTTACCATCTGCCCACTGTTTGGGAGCCTTTCACTGAATCTCAGCTACTTGCCTACCATTTTGCTGAACGGATCCAGAAAAACAAATCTTGATATCTTTTACACTTCAGGCATAGTTCAACGTCCCAAGTTTAATATTCACAACTCAGCAGAAACATAACTTTTAGAAAAAAAAAAAAAAGAGGTTTTTCTCGAGCATTGCTCCCTATCAAACGACCTTGGTGCTGTCAGCATCTTATGACAACCCATTACTGAACGTTATTTTGATTCAAAGTTTATCTTCCTAGATGATAGGTAGTTACCATTTTGCCTTCTCAGCTCTGCAGTCTCTTGCGTTGCGCAATTTAGATCTTATGCAATATGCCAGATGGGCAGAAAGTAATCACCTTTCTTCCCATGGTCACTTGAGTTTGGGATTTTGTGGATGAAAACGTGTTGTTAACAGGTAAATATAGCAGGTTGGATTACAGCACTCTGTAAATATAACATTAGAATATTATTTTTTTTCCTAAGGAGTTCAGAGTAAAATACGTATTTTTCTTGCTTATAAACCCAGCACTTGAAGGTATGTTGAATCCAGGGAAAAAGAGAGGATGAATCTTCTCAAGACACCAAAAGTATGTGTGCCTTGCTACTTTAATAAAAAATATATTGCAGGAAATAACCACCTGTGATAATGTAATGTTTAACAGTTTGCATGTGGTTTAAAAAAAAAAGCTGTTCAAGGATGTTTACAAGCACTGGTGGTGAGAGCTGGAAAAACATTTTGCTCAAGGAGATCAGAATTTGTTTTTTCAGTCATTTTCATCATGGCTAATGAGGACAAAAAACAGCTGGAAAAGGCACCCTGCTCTTTAACAAAGTCCCACAGTGCTTGTATTTGGAAGCTACTGAACTTGCTCCCAGGTCCAGCACCGCAAAGCAGGTTCTTGAAGAGTCCTCCTACCTTCTGCGTGGTTAAGACCACAGTAACAAGAATTTGTGTGTGCAGACCTACTACATCGGAAGGTGTAAGGGAGGGCTTTCACTCAGCATCTTCACATTAGTCAGCTGGAGATGCTGGTCCTGGGCCGTGCCCTGTTGAAACTGTTGTGCATTTCCTTTAGCGCTTCGTAGCAGCACCACAAACGGTAGAAAACTTTGTTATGGAAAGCTTAAAACACAAATCGACAGTTCAAAGCTGCAAATGCTGCTGAACGTGTTTGAACCATAACAGCAAGGCCATCATTTACCTTTTCCTAACCTTTTCATTGCTCCACAGATGTTTCCAAAGGGCACTGCTGCAGTGCAAGGTGGTGGCACAGGTGTGCCCTGGCAGGTGCTTAGAAATACAGTTCAGAACGCAGGGAATTAATGATTAGGTGAGGCGTGCTAGGTTCAGATTCCTCTTCAGTATTAGAGGAGTGTGAGTTTGTACAATCCTGAAAGGTAATTCAGTTTTTCCTCCTTCTATGGTTTGTTTTTTGGTTTGTGGTTTTTTTTTTTTTTCAAACAGCAAAACAGTGACTGTGAGAAAAACTGTGGGGAGTGAACAAAGAGAAGTTATTTATGAATGTCTGATCAAAAAAAGCCTTTCTGCTGAGAAAAAAACAGACTTCTTGCATGCCTCAGCAAAAAGATTGCAGTAACGTCGGAGGGTTTGTGGCGAAGAGGCCAGTGCAGGACACACACCAGCCAAGAGGTCAAAGCAGCTTTTAGATTCCTGCCAACCTGCGCTCGACACAGATTTGCAGCAGAAGGTAAATTACCTTAACATCCTTATGACTAATATGCTGAGCTGTCTGTTCCTATTGGGTGTGAATATTTCAGAGGTAACCTCTGTCGGAATTGAACAGCAGATAAAAAGAAACACTGAGGTCTGTGCAGTTCACTGACTTATCACCCACTTTTGGCTGTTGGATGAACAGTCCTCCCAGTGCAAATGCAAGTCCAGATGAAGATCAGCTCAGGGCAACGTTCGTTTGGCACTTCTCTCTTGAAACGACAATTTCTACTTCCCCCTCTGCACACGTGTAAATAGTTTGAAGGAATTGCATTCCTCCTTCTTGAGTCTGCTGTCTGTGATAAATAACAATTAGTAGTGACAGCTGAGAATTACAAACTCTTTCCCCACTAGGGAATAGTTAGGATTAGTCAAGAGAAAGTGTCAATGAAAACAGTAACAGTCTGAAATCTGAAATGAAGCAACAGGGAATGTTTACAGCACTAACAGGACAAACACAGTGAGGTTGGGAGATGAGTTCTGGGAATGTTTTTCTTCCAGAAAAAAGTTCATTGATAAAAATACAGGTGTAGTGGTAGGTACAAGAAACCAGGCACAGGCAGTGAGGCCTCACCATTATTCCTGCTTGCTGATCTCTCTGCAGCTCCAGCTGCCGCTGGCCTGAGATGTTCCTTAGCACACAGGAGCGTGTGTTGCCTCCCCTGTGAATGGCCATACAAGGCAGAGGTGATATTCCTTGTATTTCCTTGTGTGGAAAAATAAATCTGGAAAGTTATGGTGAGTAACACCCTCAGTTCTCAGAGCATAGCTCATAATAGGGCATCGTACATTAGGTAAGTAACAGAGATTGGGGCCACATTTACATAATAAAGACCAAAGCTACTGCAAATTGCATCTTGCTCTCTGCAATCCCATAATTACAGACTTTATGGTCTGTAAACATCATATTTAAAGACAACTGAGCCCAAGTACATGCTAACCTATTTGCATCTTGTCCTTACAGGTGGAACCAATCCCTGTAACTAGTTGAAGAGACTATGTAGCAACAGTGTTGGTGTGATTTAGGGATTTAGTGCAACACAATGAAAACTGGACTGCTGTTTTTTTGCCAAAATCTGCAGTAACCCTTACTGCTTTTAACAAACACACCTTTGACCCATTCAGTTGCACTGGCACTAGCTACTTCATGCCCAAAACATGAGTTAGCGAATTATAAAAGCTCCTCATCTTTACGGCGGAGGTGGCTTTTTTTATTCTCAGATGCAGCCATTAACTCTTGATGAGAAACTCTTACCTGCAGAGATGTATTCCGAGTGCTTAACCGGGTGACAGCACGCGCATATGCTCAGGGAACACTGCCAGTGCTAACAGTGACACGGCGCTGGCTTCACATGACTTGTCTGGGAGGGGACAGCCAGCTCCTGCTTGGAAACACACCCCAGTCGCCTTTGCCTAAACCCTCATAAAGTTTCCACAGCGGTAGTGAAAGGTGAGGAGTTGAACTCTGGGCTCTGAATAGACACAAAGGACCTCTCCTAGGCTACCATCAGCAGGAGGTGAGCAAAGAATGGGTAGCCAGAGTTCAGGGGCGTAGCACCTTGAAAAGATATGATAGAAACTCTTGAGGAAATAATTAAAAAGCAATGTCATGTGTCTGTTTAAAGTGCGATTGTAAGCTTTTCTAGGGACTGTGCTTGCCTTGAGAGCTGTGCAGTGCTTGGCACAGTAGGACGTCCACCAAACACGAAGTCTAGTCCTCTGCCTGCCCACATAGCGTGGCTGATGATATGCAACTTTTCGGGTGACCAGGTAAGTTGCCCTTACCTTTTCCTTTCTCTAGTCGTAGCCTTTTTTTCCTCTCAGGTGCAGTTCTTTTCCACAGTCTGCGCACTACAAAGGTGGATTCCAGTGAAGTAAGGTCCAGAAGATTTCAAGCAGGAGGGAAAAAGGAAAACCAAGCAACCGTGGTAGGCAGGCAGCCCATCACAGCAGGCGGACCCTGTTACTCAGCTGCACCTGCCGGGAGCAGAACTGGCTGGCTGGGGTCAGGAAAGGATAACAACCTTACAATAGAAGGAGATATGGGCATTTGCACAGCTTGGGACAGTCTGAGCAACAGAAATGTAAAGGGACAGTAGAGGTTGGACATAAATAATAATGTAAATTTAAAAAAAATAATTGTAAAAATATGGGCAGGTATATTAAAAACCGTATGTACATTATCTTGAGTATTTCAGAGCATGATGCAGATAAAGTTGCTTTTTCTGATACCTGAAGTGGAAAAGTCAGTGAAAATAGATCTGTGACTTAATGAACAGTTGTTGGATAAATGATGAAGTATATGGAAATAATAATAAAAAAATGTATTAGGCTTCTTTATTGACTAGTGTATGTTTCTCCTTTAACAGCAAGAGACTGCAACAATTACTTTTATTTTAGGGTTGAGGATTGGGGACTGCAGAAGTGGAACATAAATAATAATGTAAATTTTTTTTAAAAATGTAAAAATATAGGGCAGGTATATTAAAAACCATATTCACATTCTCTTGAGCATTTCAGAGCATGATTCAGATATAGTTGCTTTTTCTGATACCTGAAGTGGAAAATTCAGTGACAATAGATCTGTGACTTAATGTAGCAGTTGTTGGATAAATGATGAAGTATATGGAAATAATAATAAAAAATGTATTAGGCTTCTTTATTGACTAGTGTATGTTTCTCCTTTAACACCAAGAGACTGCTTGGAAAAACAATTACTTTTATTTTAGGGTTGAGGATTTGGTTTGGATCAAATTCTGTGTTAACTAGTTTGAAATAACTGAAAAGGAACTTTTTTTTTCTTTTTTTAACAACACCGTTTCTAGCTAATATTTGGAAATAGCTGCAGGCAGCTGAGATCTTCACTGGCTGATTCGGGGCTGGTTAATGTGCCAACATGAGATCAGTGCCAAGCAGTTGAATGGCTTTTTTGTTTGGTGAAAGAGCCATGGTTACACGATTGCTTTTTAAATGTATTTGGTGATTCTGAACCAGAAAATACGTTACCCAACAAAAAAAAAAAAAATAGTAGGTAATGAGGTGTTGGGGAAGAACATAATCCATCAAAATTTATCTTGTTGTAATGTAAATAATGTCACATTTTGTCCTGTAAATGTGACTTAGGAAAGGCAGTATACCGAGATTTTGGTGAGAGAGGAGGCAAGCAGACTAATGAGGTGTTGGGGAAAAACATAATCCATCAAAATTAATCTTGTTGTAATGTAAATAATGTCACATTTTGTCCTGTGACTTAGGAAAGGCAGTGTACTGAGATTTTGGTGAGAGAGGAGGCAAGCAGACATGGCAGTACTGTTTTGAACTTGCTTTTGCCCAAGTAAGACTTCTATCATAATTTGGTTATGCTAGGAATGGGATTATAATTTTAACTCTTTCCTAAACTCATGGAATACGAGACTCAATCAAGCACTGGCTTTTTCTCCTCCTAAAAACTCAAAGCAGAGTCACATCATCTACTGTGCTCTGATCTCTTGCTCTTTGCATGCAAAGATTCAGCAGGGTTTTTTGGTTTGGATCAAATTCTGTGTTAACTAGTTTGAAATAACTGAAAAGGAGCTTTTTTTTTCTTTTTTTAACAGCACCATTTCTAGCTAATATTTGGAAATAGCTGCAGGCAGCTGAGATCTTCACTGGCTGATTCAGGGCTGGTTAATGTGCCAACATGAGATCAGTGCCAAGCAGTTGAATGGCTTTTTTGTTTGGTGAAAGAGCCATGGTTACACGATTGCTTTTTAAATGTATTTGGTGATTCTGAACCAGAAAATACGTTACCCAACAAAAAAAAAAAAAATAGTAGGTAATGAGGTGTTGGGGAAGAACATAATCCATCAAAATTTATCTTGTTGTAATGTAAATAATGTCACATTTTGTCCTGTAAATGTGACTTAGGAAAGGCAGTATACCGAGATTTTGGTGAGAGAGGAGGCAAGCAGACATGGCAGTCCTGTTTTGAACTTGCTTTTGCCCGAGCAAGACTTCTATCATAATTTGGTTATGCTAGGAATGGGATTATAATTTTAACTCTTTCCTAAACTCATGGAATACGAGACTCAATCAAGCACTGGCTTTTTCTCCTCCTAAAAACTCAAAGCAGAGTCACATCTTCTACTGTTCTCTGATCTCTTGCTCTTTGCATACAAAGATTCAGCAGGGTTTGACTCAGCAAAGGATTTAAGTTATAACAAGGGAATTTCTGATTATATACTGGGGGGGCAGGAAATTACAATGAAGGTAGTCAAACACTGGAACGGATTTCCCAGAGCAGCTGTGGAATCTCCTTCTATGCAGACTCAAAACTCAACTCTTCAAGGCTTTGAAGAACCTGCTAAGAAAGGTGGAATGGAGAAAAGTCTCAAAATGAGTGGATTATTCAAGCTTGACATGTTTCAAGCATTAGCAGTATTTTCCTGGAAACAGTGGGCACACCTGCCCTGAGAGGACCTGTGTGATGAGATGGACATATAGTACATGTTACACAATGTAAAATGCATCACTGTGATCAGAAGGCCTTTTGGAAGTGAAGATAAGATCAATTTGTCCTGTGGCAAGTTATTTACGCTGTTCTGCTCAGGCTAGGAGGTCATTTGTGATTGCTACATGTAGGTATTCTTCAGCAGATATGTTAGACCCCAGCTATATTTTTTTCAATAAGGTTGTGGTTGGCAAATGCTATATCAGAGAATACAGTAGTGAATATAGCAGCTCACAAAGTCTAATAGCGAGGAGCTCTCCATCTGGGGAAAGATGAGGTGTTCAAGAACACTGTGACTTCCTTAACACGTTCTCATTTTAAGCAATAGAACCTTAGGACACCTCTTACATCACTTTTTATGGCCAAGGGAGACCGAGTTAACATGTTTATTGTTTTTTAAAGCTGCTACCCAAAGTTAGCATTTCCCATAGGAGTATATACAATCCTAGTGGCGAAATAGGGAGGTGGGAGTTTGGGCTCATGGCTTCAAGTTTCAAATCACTTTTTGCCTGATTTTTTTTTTTTTCCCCTTCTCAGAACAAGTTAACATCAGTTTCTTCCACTAAAACATGTAGTTTGGTGAACTGGACTTGTCTTTTTCTTTCCCTGAGTAAGCAGGAACCCAAGCAGGAAAAATGTGCCCAATTTTTCTGTCTCGTGCCCCTTGACCTGCATACTTATGTGTAACGCAGGGAAACAGAGCTAGAAACACTTGTAAATAAACTGGAGTTGCATTTGTAAGAATGTACCCAGAAAGGTACCGTTTTGAAGCTGAAGTGTAATCTCCTGGCTAATGTGGGGACTTCTTTTTGGCAGCGTGTTCCTCCCTTCTGAAACGCTGCAAGAGGAGTGCTTCCAAGAGGCTTGGTGGCATCATAAAGGTAATAGAATGTCATCTTTCTCATGAGTAACTTTCCGACTCTTTTTCCTTTTACCTCAGACAGGTGCCTTTCTACCTTCTTTGTACTTTCCCTTGTTACCTGAGGTAACATGGTTTGCCTGGGCTTGAATATTCTCCTGAGTATGAATAGCAAAATGGGTTAAATTCTGCAGTCCTCAGGAATCTGGCCTTTGCAGTATTAGAATTCATGTGTTTGTTCTTTAAGACCGGGTGAAACCAAGAAAACCTTAAGGAATGTTTTGTTAGCTTTTGCTAATTATAATTTATGTTAGGAGGGCAGCAATATAAAAACAGCTACACAGTAATCCCTCCGACAGCCACAGCATGTCCTGAAATACAGAGATCTTCCCATGGCCGTGGACAGCAGTGAAGCCCCAGGAACTACTTAGAAGTTGGATTTGATTATTTTTTTTTTTTTTTTACCAAATCCAGCAACAAACAGTCAAGCCAGAGCTAAGTGCAGGGATAATTATTATGAGGTGGCCACCTGTCCATTTAGGACTTTAAACCTCCAAATTGACCACAGCAGGACTTGCATTAAAGATGATTTTCTCACTTACCATATTCTTATGCTGTAGCTTACAGTTCCTCTGCCACATGAGTGAGGGCTGTGTGGAGGTCTGCTGTGTTCGTTCTCCATGGCACAAACTCACATTTTTGTAGTCAGATTTTTGTTTTCATTCTTGTTACTTTAACAGCATGTCGTCGTTATGGAGGAGCCCATGTCCCGTATCATCATTTGCTTGCAGACTGCAAAGGGCTGGAGATCCCACTGAGTGCAACGGGCCAGGTCAAGGGCAGCAACCCTGCCACAACACACCAGTGCCACAGCCTAAAGCTTTGGGGTTGGCTCTTCTCCCATTTTTCTTTGCTACCTTTGCATCCCTGTTGGTTCTTCTAGGACAATACTAACTGGTCAGGAAATAGGGGCATTTTTCTTCTCAAGAGCTCATGGCCAACATGAAGGAGGGAGCAAGACAGGACAGAGAGTAAATATTTTACAGTTTTGCAACCGAGCTCGAAGTTGAGGGGATTTGCTGTTGTCAGCAGTGTGTTCTTCTGCACTCCAGCTGTACAAGGTTCACTTATGTAGATCACCTCTTATTTCAGATGAAAAGCGACTCTGGACATTCCACCATGGCTGAGCAGCAGAAACAGGTAAAAGCTCAAGGTCATCTTTTAAAGGAAGTGTCATGCAGGTGCTTTGGAAGGCTGGATGCGTTGAATCATCTTCTAAGAGAAATGATAGAAAGATCCACACTCTGATCCCTTTAGCACAACTAGGAGCTCATCACAGCCACGTTTTCCCAGCACTTGTTCCCTTCCAGTGGACTGCAGCTGCAGCACCGAGTGGTGACGGGCCTGTTAACCTTTGCTTGTGTGGTAAGAGACCACAACACACCACTGTAACCAGAAGGTGTGCCACCTAACTGGGCCCAGATCTCAAAGTGGTCCTCACAATGTGTTTCCCAGCCGATGTTCTCCAGTCTCTTCACCTTGCAGGCAGCAACCCTGTTCTGCACTTAAGGAATTTGCCAACTTGTACAAGCCCTTTAAGGGCAAGATCTCAAGCAATCCATAGATCAGAGTTTGGAAACTACTGTGCTGGAGCTGTTGGCATGAAGAGAAACAGGGTGTTAGCACTTGAACTTGATGAGCAAGATTCTTTTTTTTCTATGTAAACTTCTCTGCTTCTACAGCTCATGTAATTACACCGTGTGGGATTCATTCACGTAATCACTCCATCACGTGCAATAAAAACACAGCCTCCAAACAAGACAGTTTCTAGCCAAAGGGCTTTTAAAATAGCTTCAATACTGAGCTTTAGCTGCTCTCTGTCCTATCTCAAATCGGGACATACACAGGATCTGATGAGAATTAGGAATTACTAGTTCTTTAAACTCTTTGAGTCCTTCATCTGGAAGATGCTGAAGACTCTAAAATACTATTTGGTCTGAAAATTCTGACTGTTGTAAGACATCAGAGTTTTCTTTGATATGTTCTTTCTTCATCCCAGGAGAAATAAGGTTTTATAGGATATGATTCTGTTAAAAAGCTCTAACCTTTTTAGAATAGTTGTATATTCATAGAATATACGTATTCTAAAGAATACGTAGATGGTCTTCCAGGGTCTAAAGATTAAGAAAGTCTTACCTCACGTCAGCGTACATGAGGCATAACATGGATGCAATTGCAAGTATGAAACTGCTAAAAGAGCAGATCTTCAGAGTCCAGCACCCAGTATCTGAAGCTGAAACAGATGGTTTTCTCCAGCCTTGCGTTTGTAGCTCAGAACACCCGCTGATAATGCTGGCAACTGATTGCCTTGCTTCTAGTATAGACCCGTAGGGTTCACAAACACCAAGCTTTAGGGCAAGAGTTCTTAGAATTACTTCCTCCCCAGTTGCTAACTTGATTAAAAAAAAAAAAAAAAAAGAGGTGATAGGAGGAAACAGTTGTTTGTTTTAATGAGGAAAGTTTCAGTGCTAATGAGCAAAGTTCTGTCCTGGGACAGATAAATGTTGCTGACAAGTCCTGGGTGATGTTTAATGTTCTGTAGCCATTACAGAATCTTAAAGAAGCTCTAAGCACTGGAAGCCCTGTAGAGAGGATTCCTCTATATTGCATTACCCTAAACACACCTGCATTCAACATTTATTAGGGAGCTGTCCCTCTTGTTTGTCCTCTCAGACAGGAGACGGGCAGGACAGCAACTATGAATCATGCTATTTTTACTCCAATCTGTGCAGCACAACAACACAGTTAAAAAACAGGAAGGACAGAGTAATGAATAAGACACTAGCTGGTAATTACACTATATTAGTTTAGAATTGCATTGATTTTTTAAAAACATTTATCCTGCAGATAAATATAATGTATATTCACCTAAGAAAATCCAAACTAAGATTGCTGAATTCCAGAACTGATTCCAACTTGGGCTACTGTAAAAGACAGATAGTTAATTATACATTTGTCATGTGTTTGCTGTTCAACTTGGTTTTGAATATTTACATGCTGAAATATATTCAACACTGCTTTTATAATATACTTATTCCTGGAATCAGAAAGTCTCACTGGTAATTTTCTGACTCTTGTGCAGTTGCTCTGTATAGTTAAAATCCTGACTGTGATAGAAGAGTCATGCTAACATCACAGCTGCCCTTATGCTGTACACAGGAATATTTTTCAGCAGATAGCATTTCTGTGACTGACGACAGCGATTTAGAGAACTTTGTACTTTCGAGAAGTTGACTATTTTAGCTCCTTGTTACTGTGCAGCTGTTCCATACAGGTGGCAGGTGGTACCTACCAGACAAGCTGCATTCTCAGTACTAGAACCGAGAGTACCTCTGATGGCCCAAAGGCACAGCAAAGGGAATTAGGCAAGGAAAGATAATATCCTGTATTAAACCTCTGTTGTATTTGGGGGAAAAAAGCACAAGCTTCAGATCATCTGGGCACAACAGCTCTCAACTACTGTGGGGAGAAAGCGTACTGCTTACTGGGAGGGAGAAAATACTGAGGGAGGGAGGTGCTGTGATAGAGCACCATTCCTTACCCCAGTTCTTCTTTTCCTACTGCTCTGAGTTACCCAGAAGCTCCTTATATTATAGTTTTTCCAGGTAATGAGAAGCGCACCAAATAAAAACAGAGAGGGGAAAACTCAGCGATCCTTTATCTCCTTTGGTTATTTCAGACAAATTCCATGTCAGTGACACTTCAGGTCTCAGTAAGCCTGGCAGATGGACGTGTGTGTACCCCCCTTCCTCAATTACACACAATAGCCCATAACAGCTTTGTGATTACGTTCCTTAGAGACTTTGTGAAACAAAACAGGCCACTATCGGACTGCATTTCAAATACAAAGGATGCTCGTGTAGGACACAGCAGCACACGCTCACTCTTGTTGCTTCTCACAGGAGGAGAAGCTCTGCCATGCCTTGAAGATCACTGCCCGTGTCCTTGGTACAGGCCTGATCGTGTTCACTGCCTTAGCAAACTCTGTTTCTTGGTAAGATTGTTCGAACAAAGGGGCTCGAGGAGAAACTTTTCCATGGGAAGGGAAAAAAAGTGGATGTTGAAAAGATGGGCAATCAAGAACACTTATTCCCCCAGGTACGCGGAGGGTATCTGGGACACCTTAGGCCATTTCTGGCAAACAAAATGGCTAGAGTTGTACTATCTGTTTGAGGGAGACGAATGGACAATCTTCCTCCTTGGTAAGTGTTAACAACTCTCTGAACAGGCCTGGTATGGACCTTGCAAGGTCCCAGGGATCACCTCAACCTTATCCTACTTGTATTTTAAAACCACCCATGACAGAGAGACCCCCCAAGCCTCCCAGAAAAGCCCATTCTTAGCCTCAGTTGGTGGCACATCGGACTGCCTTTACCTCCTGCATTTCAAATATGAAGGATGCTCATGTAGGACACAGCAGCACACACTCACTCTTGTTGCTTCTCACAGGAGGAGAAGCTCTGCCATGCCTTGAAGATCACTGCCCGTGTCCTTTATCGGACTGCATTTCAAATACAAAGGATGCTCGTGTAGGACACAGCAGCACACGCTCACTCTTGTTGCTTCTCACAGGAGGAGAAGCTCTGCCATGCCTTGAAGATCACTGCCCGTGTCCTTGGTACAGGCCTGATCGTGTTCACTGCCTTAGCAAACTCTGTTTCTTGGTAAGATTGTTCGAACAAAGGGGCTCGAGGAGAAACTTTTCCATGGGGAGGGAAAAAAAGTGGATGTTGAAAAGATGGGCAATCAAGAACACTTATTCCACCAGGTACGCGGAGGGTATCTGGGACACCTTAGGCCATTTCTGGCAAACAAAATGGCTAGAGTTGTACTATCTGTTTGAGGGAGACGAATGGACAATCTTCCTCCTTGGTAAGTGTTAACAACTCTCTGAACAGGCCTGGTATGGACCTTGCAAGGTCCCAGGGATCACCTCAACCTTATCCTACTTGTATTTTAAAACCACCCATGACAGAGAGACCCCCCAAGCCTCCCAGAAAAGCCCATTCTTAGCCTCAGTTGGTGGCAAGTTGTAACCTACGAGACAGTTGTCTTCTCTAACATCCTCCTCATTCCCTGGGTCTTACCTGGATGTCAGAACTTACCCATATTCTATCTTGAAGCATCTCAGGGCAGGGGATACACACCTGGATCCCAGCAAGGTCCTCTGGGTGCTACGCCACTGTATTTTGTTTCTGATTTAGCCACAGCTGCCAATTTATTCACACATCTCTGCCCTTTCCTCACGCCACAGGGGCTGCACTGGTGCCTGCCCTTGCTTTCTGGTGCTTCAATGGAATCCTTATGGTGGCTGATGTAACAGGAAAGCCAGCTTTTATTACTCGCTATCGCATTCAGCTGGGCAAGAATGATCCTGTAAGTATTTATCGCTCTGCCTTTTCTGCTGGCTAAACACCTCCTGCAGTCGCTCAGGCCAGGAGCAGGGAGAAGAACCTGTTGTGCTTTTCTCTTGCAACCAGATAGGATTCAAGGGGAATCAAGCTGAGTCTTGTATATCCCCTGCAGTGAGGAAGGCAGTTCTTGTAATTAGGCTACTGATCAGATCCAGATTGACTGCTTGTTAGGAAGTTGATCCCAAAACTAGCACAGAAACAGCCTGCAAATCTTAAAGCTCTTTATCCTCCCAGTTCAAAGCCACATTGCTTCTGATTCAGCACCAAGTCCTCACTTCTCTTTTGCAGGTGGACACAAAGAAATTGTGCCAAGCCATCTGTGTAGCGCTGTTTAATCAGTTCTTTATCTCCTTGCCCATGCTTGTGCCCATGTTCTCCGTTATGAAATGGTGGGGTAACACCTTCAGCAAGGAATTACCCACCTTCCACTGGTTTCTTGTGGAGCTAAGCATTTTCACCATAATAGAGGAAATTCTTTTTTATTATACACACAGGTAAGTACAGGAACGGGACTCTTGTGGTTTTCCTCCATGCCTTTAGGCTTATACCCATCTCCTCCAACAGCAGTATCCTAGTCCTCACTCTTCCACCAATCTTGGATTTATATGGGAAGACACTCAGGTCCAGAATCCATCCTTACAGCATGAGGTTTGGGTGCTGCAATGCTGCTGGTAACTCTGGGAAGCTAAAATGGGTAAAATTACAAAGGTGGAACAGCTTAAAGGCTAAGAAAAAAACAAAGCAGCTGGCTTCACACAAAGACTGTAACCCAACGTCCTTCAAAAAGAGGAGAGGACAACTGACTATCTTGAAAGAAAAAAAGCTTAAGAAGTCCATGACCGATCTCTTGTTCGCTTGTACAGCACCTAGGAAACGGGGCCTGGCCCTGACACTGCAGGCTCTCTAAGCACCAACACCAACATTAAAGGAAAAACCTAAAGCAAGGAAGAAAAAAGCCTTCAAGGCTGGAAGCAGCAAGTGCAGCATTCTCACAACTGTGTAGGTTTTCCTTTTGGATAAACGCACACAAAAAACCCCATACAAACCAAGTTCTTAAGGGCCCACCACAGCATTCTCACAACTGTGTAGGTTTTCTTTTTGGATAAATGCACACAAAAAATCCCACACAAACCAAGTTCTTAAGGGCCCACAGAATCTAAAATTCTACCTCTATTACTTGCCAGTAGGTGAAACAGTGAAAACACAAAGTCAGTCTTCCCCTCAGAAGTACTCCCAAGTTCGAGCAAATCAATCACTTTGATTTATGGGATGTATCTGGCCTAAGTTTGACATCAGTCAGTGGACACAGACTACAAAGTCAGTCTTCCCCTCAGAAATACTCCCAGGTTTGAGCAAATCAATCATTCAAGGACTTTGATTTATGGGATGCATCTGGTCTAAGTTTGACATCAGTCAGTGGACACAGACATTAGGTGAGGACTCCGAGTTAAAGAAAAAGAGAGAGAGGGAAGCCCCGAGTCCTACACTCTTACTCCCAACCGCTCTAAAATCTTTAATAAGGAAGAGGGGCATGAGGAAGCCCCCATCAGAAGTTCTGTGTTAGGTTACTCTACGTTCCCTTCTTACAGAGTTCAAAACCTACATTTCTCCGTTTTCTCAATTTAGGCTGGTTCACCTCCCACTCCTGTATAAGCACATTCACAAGAAGCACCACGAATGGACAGCCCCCATCGGCGTGGTCTCCATTTACGCTCACCCAGTAGAGCACATAGTAAGTGGATCCTCCCATGGTCACCCTCCAGTTCCTGCAGGGAGTGTGATTTCTGTGGGATGAGGAGTGGTAAGAGAAGAAAAGCAAATGCACCCTTAGACTCTTCCTTCTTAGGAAGAGCAAGCTGAGCTGCATGGCCAAGCAGCCAAGCTGTAGAAGGGTGGTGATACCTGTCTATACTGGACTCCACCAGCTTTAAGAGCCTCCACCAGATAAGGAAATGACTGAATGGTGCTTCCTTGAGCACAGGTGGTGCTTTCAGCAGATGTGGCACCTACACAGTCTGAGTCACTGCATGGACTCAGGATTCCATCAAGATTTTCGTGCTGGTGGCTGGGATTGGTGTTTGCAGGAGTGTCTCCTGGTGCTGCTCCAGCCCAGACTTCTCAGACAAACACATCCCACCTTCAGAAGATCCCACTTCTCAGATTCCCACCATCTCCTGTTCACAGTAGTCCTGGGCTACAGCACCAGCTCTGTGAGGCTCCATAACTGACAGTCTTTGAGCAGCAGAATGACTTTCTGTGTAAGAGTCCAGCTGAGCCCAGCTGGGGCAGGAAGCTTGGTGCAGGCAGCGACAGGCATTTGTGCCACTGGTAGGACACAACGAGGTGATGCAGCCGGGACCATCACATTGCCACCTCCACTGCACGTGTCCCCAGGACAGTGCCCTTTGGCAGTTCGGTTCCCCAAGAGCAGCCTCACCATTATTCCAAGGTGAAGCTGGAATTGAGACCTCTGACTCCAGGGTGATTTAGGGGGACCAGGCTGCCTTCACCCCAACTTTGATCTCACATCTGACTTCTGCTGGGAGCTTAGGCTGTGACTATGTTTTGCAGCGAGTAAAACACAGTTAGCTCAGAGTAAATTACTATTTCTTTGATGATTATGTAATTTTAGTAAGGTGTTCGCAGAGGGATCTTCCCTTTACGCTGTTTGCACAGAACTAAGTGATGTTACCACCCAGGTGAAACGATTCAGCTCCCAGAGGAGAGTCTGCTTGTCGTGGACCCATTAACGAGGCAGAATTTGCTTCTCTCTTCCAGCTCTCCAACACGCTGCCCGTCATGACTGGCCCGATGGTCATGGGGTCTCACATCGTTTCCATCGCAGTGTGGTTCTCCCTTGCTCTCATAACAACCAGCATCTCTCACTGTGGGTACCACCTGCCCTTCCTCCCGTCCCCGGAGTTCCACGACTTCCACCACCTCAAGTACGTCCGGGCACGGCTCGGCTTCTCCCCTTACCCTCCTGCCCACACCCTGGTGCTGCTGACAGGAAAAGCTCCTCTCCGAGGGTCAAGTGGGTTTGTGTAACTCGGGTACAAGCAGAGTCGTCCACCCAGTTCACCCCAGAGCAGGCTGAAGGCTGTCAGATCTCAAAGCGGTTCAGAGATGGGGATCTGGGAGGACTCCAGCCCACTGCTCACACAACTGCCATCTCCCCCCCCACCTCCACCACCTGACTCGGACACTTTCTCCAAAGCACAAACACCACAGCTGAGGCTGGGGGGGTTCAAGTTTCCAAAAGTTCCATGGGAGGAAAGAAAGCACAGTGTGGGAAGCAGCAGATATCTCCTGGACTTCCCCCAGGACAAGGACAGGGTCAGAGAGAGTTCTCTGCAAGGCTCTTCCTAGAAGTTCAGCAGATTCTGCACGTGGTCTAGAATAAAGACAGAGCAAGGGCAAAACACACGGCTGACATAAATTTGCAGGGAGCCTCTCCGTCTGTCCCTCTCCCCTACACTGGGATGAGTAACACCCATCAGATAACACCTTGCCCGAACAACCACAATTAACCCTTCCCAGCAGAGGTTCCCAGCCTCCCCCTGAACTGGAGAGAGCAGAGTTTCAGGGACACCTACCACAGGGGTGGAGCAAGGGCTGCCACCTCCCAGGTGTGTGCAGATTCACAGATGTACCCCCTCCAGCAGTTTGCCCCTCCCGTGCACTAAATTCATAGATGTACCCCCTCCAGCAGTTTGCCCCTCCTGCAGAAACAGCCCACGCACCAGGCGCTGGGCAACATCCCAACCACGGTACCGGTTCTCATCGCCGCTCATTTCCTCTGGAGCTCAGCTCGTGTCAGGACACGGATCCCTGCGGAGCCAGGACACTCTCTAGAAGGAACGGCTGTGCTGCCTGCAGAAACAGCCCACGCACCAAGCGCTGGGCAACATCCAAACCACGGTACCGGTTCTCATCGCCGCTCATTTCCTCTGGAGCTCAGCTCGTGTCAGGACACGGATCCCTGCGGAGCCAGGACACTCTCTAGAAGGAACGGCTGTGCTGGTGTCCCCGTGCTGGAAGCACAGCAGCTCCGTGTCCCAGGAACAGGCAGACACAGCAACCCAACTGTCCAGCTGCTCCGGAGAGAGACAGCTGTTTGACCATTTTTGAGCCACGATGGCACCAGGGAGGGAAGCTGGAGGAGAAGTTTCACCCAGGCTTTGTTAGGGATGCAAGAAAGATTGACGCAGTGGCAGGAATCACAGACAGCTTATCAGGACTCTGAAAGGAGCTGGAGATAGGAAGGGTGAAACAACCTCAGTAACTTCCAGTGATGTTCAATCTCCGTTTGGTTTCCAGGTTCAACCAGTGCTACGGAGTCCTGGGGGTGCTGGATTACCTGCACGGGACGGACAGAACCTTCAGACAAACCAAAGCCTACGAGAGACACAGGGTCCTCCTCAGCTTCACGCCGCTCTCGGAGAGCATCCCCGAGGTGCCCAAGCGGGCAGAGTGAGCCCAACAACCTGTCCTTCTTATAGCCCAACAAGTGATGAGCAAAACGAGCCACAATTATTTAAGCCAAATAGTATTTTAATTGGGAAAGAAGTTATTGATCACGCGTAACGAAACCCAAAGCCAAACTTTAAACATGCTACTTGAAATGACTGCACTTTTGCTGCCTGTTGTTTTCTACCTAAGGCACAACCGCTATGGAAAGCTATTTTTAAACAAAGTTTGGAGGTTTTTTCCTCCTTAAGTACTTGCACTGTTCCTTGGTTCTGGCTGCCTGTGGAAGGCAAACGTGTGTCAGGTCACACGGCTTTGTTTTAAAACCTTAATAATGAGAATTCCCTGCTCTCGGGTTTCACAGGCCATGCTTTGGCCTCTTCCAGCAGCATTCTATAGAAACACCAGCAAGGTCACTGCAACTACATACGATAGGAATTAAAACCACTGTTTTTCTGAGACTCAGAACACCTGGGATACAGGATACAAACCCATGGAAAGTCCGTGAGGCCACAGCTTTGGAAACACTCTGCCCTGCACACACAACAGCAGCCTGACTCCCCCCCAGCAGTTTTTCTTCACGTGGGAGGTCACTACGGGTCTGAATTTAGGGTCCTCACATCCTCATCCCTGCTCCACAAACTCATGTTCACAAACACAAAGCAGGTTTCCCCCCATGGGACAGGGACACAGAGCTGGGAGCTGATGTGCCACACGGCAGAAGCCCTGGTACATCATCCCCTCCCACCCAGCCTCACCTCCCTCAACACACACCAACAGGAGGCACAAACCAACACAAGCAGCTCTGGACAAGGATAAACCACAGAAAGAGACCTTCCAAAGAAAGGAGAGTCACTGCTGTCCTGAGCTGTGTGATAAGTGAAATCCCGTAAGAAAGGGCCCAACAAAAAGCACTGGTACCTTTTATGCACATCCATAAGTACCTACACAACCCATCGAGACATGCCATGAATGTTCTCCACAACCTTTTTAAGTCTCAATCCTGTCTGGGGGCCTGGGACAGAAGTCCCACCTGCCTCTCATCATCGCTAGGAGGAGAAGACACACAGGGCTGGTACCTGTGGTACTTACCTGCTGTCAAGTCCAGCTCCACCCAGGGAAGCCAAATCTTTTCCCCCACCTACAGCTGCAGAGGGATGAACCCACTCATCCACCCAGGGACCCCCCCAGGAGGGCAAGTCAGCAAAACAGAAACCCCAGGCTGCATTGTCTTTTGAAGTTTTTATTTTTATACATTTTTTTTTGTATTAAAAAGGAAAAAGCATAATTACCACAAATTACAAAGGACTAAAGCATTACTAGAATAATGAATCACATCAGCCTAGAAAGCAGATACTCTGAATAATATTAATGTTATAATACAAGCTCTCATTCAAGTATTTTACATTTTTCTCTTTTCCTTTTATATGTGATGATGATCCTAGCACATGGGTCAAAGATTATGTACTATCGACAGAAGATGGATCATGTACAGCGGGGCCAATATTAACAAGATTTTCCTCCCAAGTGATAACATGGTCTGTGATGAGTCATTTTAAGTTTGTCTCTACGATAAATGCAGCTGAAGAAGGTTGCACACACTTTTCTAGTTTTGGGAAACAGAAGGCTGAGGTTGGGACACACAGGGTTTAGAGAAGGGCCAGCACATTGAACCATCAACCCCTTTTGCTCCAGGCAAGCGAGCAGAGGGCAACCCTCACCAGGGGGGGGTTCCGAGCCACAGATCCAAAGGTTTCCGACCCCCAGGGGACCAGGACAGGCTGGGAGAGGAGGAGGGGGAGCGGGGCTGCACCGGGGAGCCTGGAGGGACCAAGAGGTGCCAGGGATCCCCTCCATGAGGGCCACCACCGGCACGAGCCAGCCCCCACCTGGGGCTGACGCCTGGAGAACGAGCCACAGGGGGACAGCGTGGGGACCCTGGGGGTGACCCGAGCACGCTCTGCCCACCGTGGGGAGGGGGGGCTGGCTGGCACCCAGGGGGCTCCCCGCTCCTCTGGAGCTTCCCACCAAGGGATGTGCTTGTCACAGATACATCGGTCCTATGTTCAAGTGTCTGCAGAAAGTGAAACTGTAAACTACTCATTGAAACGCTGCCCTCCAGCCACCTGCTCCACGCCACCGAGATGAACATTTTTAAAAAAAAAAAAAAAAAAGTCATTCATCTATTGCCTGTATTGGAAACTTTTTTTTTAAAAAAAAAAAAAAAAGAAAAAAGAATCAGTGAGGCATTTTACATCAAGTGTAGCAACCCTCTCTTAAAAAGAGCCTAGCATCCATTTCAAAACAGTGACAAAGTGACATACCCAGCCTCAGAGGAGACAGGAGAAAAGAAGCATTGCAAACACAGCTTGCTACATTTACAGTTTTCCTTTTTTTTTTTTTTTTTTTTCCTTTTTTTTTTCCTTTTGATAAAATAACTGGAAAGGCATTAACAGCTAGAAGGCCCCCCCCCGCACTGCCATGGGGAACGTGTGTTCAGACACGTGGCAGGACACTGAGGTTAACGCTTCGTTTTGTTACAGTACAGTCGGCCAGTCCTCAGCCAGATGAGCAGTTGCCAAAATTCAAGGGACTCTGAGGGCTCCAGCAACGAGCCGCCGCCGGTGGTGCGAGGGGGGCAGCAGGAAGAGGGACAGACAGGCGAATGGAGCAGCAGGATTATTACTTTTTTTTAAGTTTTGTTGTTTTTTTTTTTCCCCCTAAAAAATGAGCATGGCAAAGCGACAAAGCCTCCTCTGAAACACACCTTCCACCTCCACTCCTGACCCCACGCCAGAGCTCTGTACCCACTGCAACTGCCCGCATCCCAAAGACAGGCTGACACACCGGGCCTGGGGGCAAGGAGCCCCAGCTGGAGCAGCCTGGGACCTCCCGAGAAGAGGGGGAAAGATGGGGAGTGCCCCCCATCTCTGCCTGAGAGCCCAACGACCTCCCCCAGCCTGTCCCAAAACAGGGCTCCCTCTGGCCACACAGTCCTCACGAGCTGTGGGACCCATCAGCATTCACAGTGAGTATGATGCCCGACCACTCAAATTAAAAAAAAAAAAAAAAAAAGCACAAAACATGATCATGAAGCATCCAAGCTCAAAGCAAACCCCCTCTCTGCACAGCTGTCCCTTTGTCCTGTGGTGGAGCGAGCCACGTGTGATGCCTTCTGTAGGCAGCAAGAGGGAAAGTGCCTCTGCAGACCTGTCCCCTGTGTGAGCCCTAAAACAGGGGGAAAGCCGTGCCATGGCCAGCCCCTCCTCAGCCTGGCATGGACCATGGCCACCACCCAGCACAGGGATGCAGGATGCTGCCCTGTCACCAGAGCACCCGAGCTCCCTGTCCTCTGCCACCACTCACGCTGTGACTGGGGGTCATCACAGAGGCTGCCCGAAAAACAGTAAGACAAAGCACAGAGTCTGCAACTCCAGAGGGTGGGGGACCACTGGGGTTGCTCTTCTGACCCACCTTCCCCCAGCAAACAGGAGGGGGTTTCACACAGGGACACTCAGCCACACTGATGTGACAAACCACTGACTCAGCAGAGAGAGGGGGAAAAAAAAAACCTCTTCTGTGCCAAGACTAGAGTCTCAGCCTCAGAAATTAAGAAATAATTTAAATCAATTCAGATTTTGGGAAATCCTCTGGGAAATTTCTTGCCTCTTTTACCACCCCAGCAATTCCAGTCTGCTCCACAAGCAACAACTCTGCAGCGTGAGTTGTTCCACAGAGGAGCTCCTTCCTCCTCGTTTCCTATCTGATTTGTTGCTAAAACACAGACAACTGGCTTCAAAAAGGGAACACGCACCGACGAGAGGAGCACAGGGACACAGCAGCAAGGACAACCCGCACATCCAGACCCACTTCAGCTTGTCAACAACCAGCAGCACATCTCCAGTGTCCTTGACCAAGCCCCATCTCCAGCCTCCAAGGCTCCTTCCCAGATCAGGGACAAACCCAGCCGCATCCATAACCTCAGAGACCTGACTCTGGCTCACGAGAGGGGAAAATCCAGAAGATAACAGTCATGGCCACAGCACTGCACCAGCGTCACTTGCCCATCGTGCCCAGTTACCACCCCGCAAGCCCAGGGTGCTGCTGTGGAGCAAGCCAATGGCCTCAGACAGGTTGCCACGCTGAAATGGGGCCTGCCAGCAGTCCTGGGTCACGGGGATGACATGGCAGGGATGGACAGACCAGGGCAGGATCACACACCACCAGGAAACGGCAACGTAGCAGCTCCCCAGGCTCCCTCAAACCCAGCTGTGCTTCAGTTCTAGCAGCAGTTCACCAAGCCGCTCGGCGCGGACCAGCCCACCTCCTCCCCCCTCCCCAAATCCTACAGCAGCATCCTCGGAAAGGTGCCAGCTCCAGCCAGAGCCCCACTGGCACCCACAGCCACTTGCTGATGGACAACTCGCCCAAGCTCACCCTACTGATATCCCAGCTGCTCTCACCCACCAGCCCTATGGGGACAGCCCTGGAGAGGTGACTCCTCCCAGCTCCAGACGCAGCACTGGATCAACTGGGCACTGTCAGAAAATGCCATTTGTTACCAGCTAGTGATTTTACAGAGAGGGTAACACGATCAGCTGCATCTTTGAGTAGCCCACCACAGTGCTCGCTCCCGCAGTGCCAGAGCCACAACCAAGCCAGCTGCAAAGCAGGTTATCCCAACCCCGGGGACAGAGAAGAGCAGCAGCAACACAAGTGGCTCTGGCTGAGAAGGAGCTTCCACCCTTATGGTGGGGAGCACAACTTGCCAGTGCTACTTCTGGGCCCCAGGAGCAGATCTCACCCTTCCAACACATGCCCCCTGAGAGAGAAGACAGCTCACCAGCCCGGGGAGGATTCTGCCTGCTGAAGCCCACCCGGTGCTGGGTGGAGGAGCCCAGTAAATGCCACAGCAGCTCTGCAGCTGAGCAAGGAGCAGCATGGTGTTATCTCAGCCCTTGGAGATGCTCAGGGACATTGCCCTGAGCAGGAGACTCCACGCAGCCACCCACCAAGATGAGACACAAGGTGAGAGCCCTCCTTTGCTGGGCAGGTCTCCACTCGCACCCAACCACAGCCCCGGGCCGGTGATGGCTGGGAGATACAGGCTCCCCAGGGCTGCATCATCCCCCCATCAGTCTACAGCATTAAGCGGCACCAGGGACACACCAGCAAGGACCAGTCCCTCCAGCTGCTGGGACGGATCTCCCCGCTCACCTCCCGACCACGCTGGAGGCACAGACCCACCTCCCACCCGAGGGAGAGGCCACAAGCACCTACAGTCGCCGTCGCGGGGAGGATGCTACAACGGTATATACACAACGTGAGCACAAGTCTGGGATCTGACTGCCCTCGGCACCTTCCCCCATGAGGATCAGGGCTGGCAGGTAGACTCCGTGATGGGGGGAAGCTCCATGATGGGAGGAGGCATCCGAGCAAGCTGCAGGGTCAGAGGAAAGGCCGTGGGGAAGATCAGCTCGGCAGCAACGCCGTGAGGAGTCTCTGGGCCGGGGGGGCCAAAAGCCCAGCGCGCCCCAAGGTGCAGGAAGCCAGCAAGCCTCCCCGGTCCAGCTCCACCATAAGGCAACTCTTTTTTTTTTATGGTTTTTTTTGTGGTTTTTTTTGTTTTTTGTTTGTTTTTCTTTTTTTTTTTCTTCAATAATATTTCCAAGGAAGAAAGCAAAAGGGAGATTTGTCTTTTTTAAAGAGTTTTTGTTGTTGGTTTAGAGGAGTTTGTGGGGGGGTTTTTTTGTTGTCGTCATTTCATTTTTCCAAGGGAAAAGGAAGAGAAAACCTCCTTCAGCAAAGTCCTGTCTTTGCATGCGACGGGCGTTCCTGGGGCAGCGGGGGCACCATCCACGCAGGCTCGAGTCCAGGTGCCTGCTGGTCTCCCACCGGCCGTCCTCGCAGGAAGGAGTCAGAACAAGCCTATCCTTGGCAAAGGTCCTTTGGTTGACTTCCAAATTGTCCGTGATGGAAGGGAGAGGCGGGCGGGAGGGAGAGCCAGACCCTCGGGAAGATTGGAGGTGAAGACGTTGGGGAAGGAGGGACCACGGGGACAAACAGGGTGATGCTCCTGTCGCGGCGGTCGATGTCAGAGAGGCACCACCACCACATGTGGAATGGGAGACGTCAGCCAGGTCATGGAGATCAGAGGCTCCGCAGCGTCGTGACACACCGCGGCTTCGGTCCCCCATCAGGGAACCTCGCTCCTCCGAGCTTCCCGAGCAGGCTGCCCTGCCATCCCAGGGGGGACACAGAGGGGACTCGTGGGGGCCGCACAGAGCAGACTTGTTTTGGTAAATCCAGACGAACTTCTAGCAATAATTTAAAACTTGATATATATATATAATAATAAAAAAATCTCCCCTTTCCAACCCAGCCAAAACATATTTTTTTTTTTTTGTTTGAAGAAGACACTAAGACATGAGTGTGTGCACAGGAGGGGAGGGAAGGGAGAGCAAAGGATGGGGCTGCTGGGAGCGGGTCTGGCTCTGGTCAGGGTTGTAATAGCAAAATGGTGATTTAGATGCAGATCGTCTTTGCTTTCCAGCCACAAGAGGAAAAAAATCGTGTGCGTTGAAGTTTCTCCCGAGCAGCCTATTCCTGGGCACCCACCTTCCAGCTCCCTTCCTGTCCCACCCCCTCATGTCTCCCCTTCTCCGAGCCAGTCCCCCACCAACCCACCCCGTCCCCCAGCAGGAAGCAGGCGCTGCAGCCTCTCTACTTCCCCAGTGTCTGCGACTCTGCAGCCGACGGGGCGGGGGATTGCTGGCTCAGGTTTTTGGCATCCTCTTGTGCAGGCTGGCTGGGCGAGGCGTGGGCTTGGCCGGATGGGCACTGGCTGACCGTTTTGCTGGAAGACTGGGATGGGTAGCGCTTCCTGCCATCTCCCCCTGACGTCGTAGGGTATCTCTTGTGTCCACCTTCCTCTCCCATGGGTGGCTGGAAGAGAAGCACCCCAGTTATCAGCACAGCCTCCTCCAAATGCAGGTCCCCTCCCCCTGGATCAGAGAAGAGCTTTCCTGCAAAGCTCTAGTTGCAACTTCTCTCCCCGACCCACAAGGAACACACACACCCACCCCGAGCACATAGCTGCCCTCCTCTCCAAATCCTCTGCTGCCAGATTTCCTGACAAACACAGACTGACTTCCAATCAAGCACAAGGGTGACAATGTGCTCTCGGGCACCTCCTTCCCACACAAGGGACACCGAAGCCCCACACAGTGCTGGCTCCACTCAAGCCATCAAGGCTCACTTTCCTCCTCCCTCCTCAGGGAAGACGGGCTCATCCAGTTCCCCAGAGAGCCACTCTGAAGTGGATTTGCAATATTCAAACCCTGCAGCTTGTTCCTGGCACGGCTGCAGTGACAGGGCACAACACTAGGTGTCACTGACTTCCCCTGCCTGGCAACGCTTGGGGACCGGCCCCCAAAATCCTCCTTGGAGGGGGGCCAAGGGGCATCTGCAGGGGCCGTCAGCATGGTGCAGGCACTGCATCTACTCACATCCACTCGGAAGTCCTCGAGGCGCTTGAACTTGCTGAGGTATTCTTGCAGTTTGCTGTTAATGTCCAGATTTTTGGCTTTGGAATATTTTAAGAAGGCCCAGAACTTTTCCAGCCCGTAGAGCTGTCCTGGAGAGGGATAAAACCAAACCAGATGTCAGCAGGACAAAAAGTCAAACCACATGTCAGAACTATTCCCTCCTGGCTTCCCCACTGCTCACCCCACAGACCCTCCTGTCCCACTGGTGGGCACAACCAAGGTAAGGGAGAACCTGAAGGGAAGCAGCCTAAATCACTATTGGGCAGCCCTCTTGACAGGGGATGTCCCCAGGCTCAGCTGACCTGGTGGTGACAAGGCTGAGGGATCACAGGGCCTTGAAAAATCTTAGAGGAATCAGTGCTTCTAGGGAAATGTTTTGGGAGAGCTACAGCTTCCCATTGCCCTCCTCCATCCCCCTTCAGGCCAGGGAGCATCCACTCAATCTTCTCCCGTGAAGCGAGCAACAGGACATCCAGCCAGTCCCCGATGCACATGTTAATGCACAGCATTATGTGGCTCCCCCAAAATCATGAGAAAAGCCCCAGGAGCAGCTGTGCAGCTGGGCTACCTGGCTGCACAACCCCAGGGGAGGCCAAAGGAGATACCTACCAGCTTCATAATCCTTGATGGTCTCTTCTTGGAAGTCCTTAAATATGTCTGGCCGGAATTTCTTCTCCAGCCCGTAGCTGTAGTATCTGAAAAGGCACTCCAGACCGTACCTGGGGACAGAGCAGCACGTGGTGCTCACACACCAGTACATACAACACCCGGGCAGAGAGGCTCTTGGGACAAGAACCCTGCTGTGTACCAACAGCAGGAGGTGACCGAGGGTGGCCCCAGTCCTACGTTTGCAAAAGGCACAGATGCTGCAAAAGGGCCAACCCTTCTTCCCTCCCTCCCTCCCCTCCCAGGAAAGGCCATTCTGCCCCTCCTCTCCTACCTGTATCCCTCCTTCCCATCCTCCACAGCCAGTTGCTTGAACTCCTCGTACATTTTCTTGTTGAAGTGATCTCGGAGGAAGAAGGACCAAAACCGGAAGAGCGTGTTCATCTCCTGGGACTGACCAATGCCCAGTCGTTTCCGCTCTGTTTTGGGAAAAGGGGATGATCACTAGGAAGACCCTCTCTCACTGAGCCAGCTCTGGACACGGGGGCTTGTGTATAGGAGGGCCCTGTGCCAGCGTGGCTACATCCAGCCTCAGTGCTGGACACCCTGAGCTCATGCTCACCACAGACTGTGAGGAAACATCAGCTACCAGCAAGGTGTCCTGTAGGTCCCTGCTTATCTCCATGTGTGTGCTCTGCTGCCATACCCTGCCCATCGATGCAGCAGAGCGCAGACACCTGCCCCGTGCCCCCTCCTTACCGTTAAGGCAGCGCCGACGGTACTTGTGGTAGACATGTTGCGTGAAGCCGTTCTCCTTGAGCAGCTCGTGTGAAGGATGCTGGAACTTGGGCAGGGACTGCGGGGTGCAGCCGTAGCTCCCGACGGCCGGGGTCCCCTCTGAGGGGCTGGAGCTGAGCACAAGAGAGTCCCATCAACCCCCTTCCTTGGCATCACCCGTCTGACAGCAGAGTAGGGTCACACTCCACCCTGCAGCGCTTGTCTGTTGGTCCCACTGACTGTCTACTCTGGGTTTTGGACCTCAGCTACAGGGTATCCTATGGGAAGGGAACCAATGTTCCCAACTGAGTCTCATCTCATTATTCTAAGACTTCAGACTTCCCTCAGCTCCTTGCAGGGGGGACAAGTTGGATCCCAGCACTTTCTGCAGCCACCTAATGGGAGACCTCCCCTGCAAGACCAGACATTGCCTTTCCCCTTCCTTCCCACCAGATGTTCCTTTCCCATTTCTGGCTCCTCCATGACCACACATGCCCGCTTCCAGTACCTGATGGAGGCAGTTCGAGGTCTGTGCTCCCGAGAGTCCATCACCCAGCCCACGTGGCACTCCATCGGAGGGTTCGAACTGTGCCTTGTCTTCCTTTTCCGTGGAGTCTGCAAGACATGGTGCATCAGGGATGTGTCCCCTTCCTCCCCAGCGTCCAGCTGGGAAATCCAGCTCCCACCCCACTCCCCAGCCCCGGTCCCACCTTGGCATCTATCGTCCTGCCCTCTTTCACCACTGGGTAGAACCGGGGCGTCTGCGTCGGGTCCTTCAGCTGGGGCGTGCGAGGGGTCCGGGGGGTCCTGGCGTTGCGGTAGTTGGGTGATTCTGGTACAGTTGTAGGCAAGGACCGGGCAATGGTTGAAGGCTCAGGGACTCCAAACAACTTGTTGGCCAAAGCATCTGTAGGTACTGCAGAGAGAAAACCCCCCAACTCAGGGTCAAGCTGAGCTCTGAGCACAAAAGCATCATTATAGCCAAGGGACACCCATCTGGCAGGTGGGAAGCAGCAGGGGCAGGAACACAAGGATACACATCCCAGCCCTCAGAGACAAGCAGCTTCAAATCCAGCATGTTGCCAGCCTAGCAGCAGGTCCAAGGACTGAGCTTCCAGGGAACCTACAAGGTATCTGCTTCCCAGTGGCTAACAAGAGCAACAAATCCCCCATCCCCAGAAGAAAGACAGGGCACCAGGTGCCATCAACAAGCAAGCAAGGACCAAGCAGCAGCTGCCTTCCAGGTAGTCAGAGGGTCCCAAAGAAGTCACATCCAGGGAGCTACATCGAAGTTCAAAGTTTCCTCACTCTGCTGGGACACCCCTGCTTTTGGGCCTCCTCTTCTGCAGCCCCAAAGCATTCAGCTGGGAGAAGAGCAAAGCTCTGGGAAAGATAATCCTACCCACTTGTGGCCCCAATTCCTTCTTCCCAGCTGCCACCCAACCTCCAAGGACCTCTCACTAGAAGGAAGGGACAAATTCAGTCCCACCCACTCATGCCCCCTGTTCTCTTACCTTGCTGGAACCTGGGGGGACCAGGAGGGACTTCCTGGTTTGGATCCACAGGGGGCTCTGGCGTCAGGGTGTCAAACTGCTCTCTGCTGATCATGTTCACCTTCTTGAAGTTCTCCACTTCTTGCTGCAATGAAGAGGAAGACAACGAAGCTACCAATTGCCCTCTTCTGCCCTCATCCCATCAACTAATTGTAACCACTGCTCTGCTCATCCAGCAGCCACAATGCTGGGCACCAAGTGCAGCCACGAGGACTCAGTGCCCAGCAGGGCAAGGGGCTGTGCAGAGGTAGGAAGGGGAGGTGAAGGAAGCAGAAAAAAGGGGCCCTGCACAGGCCAGATCTGAGCCACTTGCTGCTCCCAAGCTTTAAGGGACCTTACATGGCACCTCCACTAACCATTGCTTGCTTCTTTCAGGCTTTCACCCATCAGCATCAGTGCTGGTCCAGTAAGGTTCAAGGTAAGCTTGGCCAGGACCCCACTGTCCCTGACATGTTCTTGCACCCACAGAGCCTCCTCACCACCACACCAGCAGTGGAGCACAATGCTCCCATGCATCTGAAGGGCCCAGCACGTCCTGTCCCTCTGTCACCTGCTCTCCCCACACGTCCTCAGCTTCTGCCACCTCAAAGAGCAGCACTGCTTCAGTAACATGCCAGGTATCAGATAATAAGCCCAGCTGGTAGCTCCAACAGGCCATCCCACCTCACAGCCAAAATAGCTTCAGTCACTGAATGAGCCTAGGCAAGTCCCCGACCGTGAGAGTCACCATGTTGGGACTCAAATGTTTCAAAGCAGCAGATGGGCCTTCTATAAAAATCCCATGTCTGTGCAAACTGGCAGCAAAATGGAGAAGAATACCCAGGCCAAGTGCAGCGCAGCCATCAATGAACCCATTCCTAATAAAAACAGCCTCCAAGGGACTGGGGCATGGAGTGCTGGGCACTACAGACAGTGCAGAGACACCTGGTTCCCTCCATAGATGTAGTCCTGCCAGCCAAGACCCTGGCAGACAGTGGAGCAAATGGATCTCATGTTCCAGGTCACCTCATTACTAGCACTGTAGCCTTATGCCACGTTACAGAGATGTGGTTATCCCCGACACAGCAAAGCATGTCACTGGAAGCCAGGAAATTACCCCACGAGTGGGCTTTAACCCACTGTACCACCTTTTCTATCCCACACCAACAGGGTGGCCAGCCTGCTGCTCATGAAGCTCCCTGTGAAAAGCCCCTTCCTTGGATCAGCTTCTCTCACCTTGATCTGCGAATACTCTGGCTCAAACTGCTCTGTCCACAGGTCCTGCTCGTAGTAGTACAGCCCATCGTTGATCACCTTGGCCAGCTCTGAGCTCATTTTAGCCCTGGATGTGTGGTTGCCAGTCCGGTCCCCACCAGGGTGCCGGCGCAGGTAAGGAGGCGTCTGTGTCACGATGAGGATCTTGTTCACGTCCCGATCGTCGATCTCGTAATCTGAATCTTCATCTGACCAGTCAGTGAAGGTGTTCTTGCGGCCGTCCATCTGCTCCATCTCCTCATCAAAGAGGAAGTCTAGCTCCTCAGGTTCATCTTGGTCCTTCTGCTTCTGCTGCTGCGGTGTCTTTGACTCCTCTGGTTTCTACAGGTAGGGAGGCAAAGGTGACACAGGGTAAAAATCACACAGCAGCACAAACCTACTGCGTGAAGACCCAACTATTGCCCTGTGTTTCCTTACCGCAGCCAGAAGCTCCCCATTTGGGGAGAATACCACATTTACACCACTAAGAAGCAGCTCCAAAGGGTATCAGATGGGGCCAGAAGAGACTAGGACATCACTCCCATGACCAACAGACCTTATTTGATCTGCAGCCTGCCTACCTAGAATTCAAGTCACCCAGAAAACCAGGAGACCCCCAGCCCAACAGCTCCTATGTCACCACCTACCTTGGGCCTGGCTGGGGATGGCCGAGGTCTCTTCTTCACTTCAATCCACGTCTCTGAATCCAGGTCTGGCAGACTTGCAGACAGGCCCTTGGGCATCGTCTTGAGGTTACTGACCTCCTCCGTTTTGGTGGGGACCGGGCTGGCAGCACGTGGGGAGCCAGGAGCAGACTCTAGAGCCAACAAGAGCCACAAGGTGCTTTAGAGAGAGGGAGGGAGCCGGCGGAGGGGGACTGTGTCCTTAAACCACTCAACTGAAGATGGGAGTTATTTTAGCAGCATGGCACAGCTTGTGGGACTAACTAGCATCCAGTGGCCAAAGCTTACCAGCACGTTCCCCACAAGTGTTGGGGACTCTGGGGTGAGGAAATAAAAAGTTCCCAGTTAAGGCTGCGATGCCAGACATGGCCGCAGAGCTCTGCAGGTGACAGATTCCCAAACACACAAAGTCCTAAAACAAGTGCTCTGTTGCTCCCAGGGAAAACTTCCCAAGACAGTGTGCAGCCAGTGGAAACTGATCTCCTCCTGCCAAAACTAACTCTTACGACAGCACCAAGAAGCACTAACTATTACAACAGCACCTCTTGGGACCAGCCTGGGCTCCTGCCAGCCCCCATGGAACGGGGTGACAGGAGCAGGGGGCAGTTCATGAAGGACAGCAGACCCTTCCCCAGCACTCAGTTGAAAGCTCCATACCTGCTGCCTTATTTGTGCCCAATATCTCCTCAGTGATTAAGAAAAAGTTGGGTTCAGAAGTGTTCTCTGCTCTGCCCAGCAGTAGCAAAGTATTTCCAGGCACAGCCAAGAGACTTTCAGCAGGACTGACCCTACCCAAATCTCCCATGGAGGAAAAGCTACAGAATTAGTCTTTTCCACGTTTTTCCCTATGTATGGAGGCGGCAGCATTCAAGGGGTCTGAGCACAGAGCCCTTACCAGCTCCCATCACCAAGCAGAAAGAAATGGCAGAGCCCTGCCCTGGAGAACACTCCTGACTCTCTGGGTCTCAGTACCAACACCACATCCCACACCTCCCTCCACATTTCCCCAGTGCTCACCTGTCTCTTTCTGGAAGCTTTGCCGAGGCACAAACTCAGGGCAGTTGATGAACTGTGAGAAGTCTGTTTGTGTGTAGTCTGCCATAGGAGGGCCAGGCAGAGCCCATTTTTCTGGCTGCTCTTTTCTCCTGATCTTCTCATCCACGATTTCCACCACCTTGCTGTCCTTCAGAGCCTGGAACCAAACGACACCCAGTTAACTCAGAGCCCTGCACGTTGAGTGACTCAGCCCCAACCCTTCCTTCCTAGGAGGACCAAGAGGAGGAGGGAGCAAGTCAAAGACATGGGAAAGCTCCACTTGCATGTCACCCATAGCCCATCTAGAAAACAGGCCTCACACTGGGGTGGCAAGAAGCAGAACAAGAAAGAAAGTTCATTTTTTATTGCCCTCACCTTGATGATGAGGTTGATGTCAGTGGTCAGTGCCTGCACCCGGTGGAAGCTGGCGATCAGGGTGATGGGAAGGAAGCCATCTGAGTCCATCTTGCGACGCAGGAAGAAGTCTCGCTCCAGGTTGTCCACGCTGAAGTAATATTCTCTGTATGGACAACACATGGGTGAGAGGCAGCTCCAAGCCAATGTCATCTGGGTACCCCAAAAGAGTAATTCCCCACCACCACCCTTCTACTACTGCAAGGCTGAAAAGAGACAGCCTGGGGAGCCCAGACATGGGGCAAACTGGTGCTGTTAAGCTGTGTGGCACAGAGTCAACACATCTCTGCTCTAACCCTACCCAGAGGATTAGCTGTGCTGTCTCCAGGGAGGGCATCTGTGAACATCCCACCAACAACCACCGTTCAGAGAAGAGTTGGTGCTTACATCTGCCGCTTGATGTAGTCCTTGAGCAGTTCCTGGTCCACACTGTAGAGCTCGGCGCTGCTGATGTTGTCAAAGTAGTAGGTGATGTTGCTAGCGTACTTCTGGGTGCGGGAGCCATCCGAGCCCTCAAATTTCCGGTACCCATACTGGTAGTCGAAGTGTCCTGTAGGACAACCAGTAAGGGTCAACAGAGCCCCTCAGATCTGCTAGACCAGCTGTGCTGCCTGACAGGGCTGGACTCCTGCACCAGTAGCTCCCTCTGCAGTGTTCCTGGGGCCCCCACGGCAGCCCACGATGAAGCATCACTGACCCACATCCCTCATCCTCCTGCTTTTGCTGTAAAAGGGATTCCAGTGAAACCCCAACACACCAAGTCAAAGAGGCCAGGAGCAACCAGACAGCCCAGGTGACAGACAAAGCCCCTACACTGAGCTGTGCACAGACACTGCCCTGCCAAATATCAGTGCATTGCTCTGCCCCATCCAAGCCAAGACTCCTGCTTGGCTCTCAGCATGAGATGAAGCCTACACAGTTATTAACTCCTGCACACAGGGGTACTGCAAGGGGCAGAAAACAGGTGGAAGAGCTTGGGCGGAGTAGCTTAAAGACATTTGCCTTTATTAAAATATTAGTAAGAATAATTTGCTTTTATTAAAAGCAGCTCAACTTAGCTGGGATGACCTGCCACAGTATTTTCCTGTGTCCCTACAGCACTCTGCCCTCTCCAACCCGCTTTGGAGCCCCAGGTCTCACACCCCCCCCAAGCACTGCACACTTTGGCACGTGCCCTGGTCTCTCCCTGCTATCACAAGGCCAGATATAGAGTGATTACCTCCTCTGCCACGGCCACGGCCCCTGCCGCGGCCCCGACCTCGGCCCCGGAAGGCCCCACGCACAGCTCCTCCCTCGCTCTTCACGCTGGAGGTTTCATCATGGTCCTGCCAGCTGCGTTCATGCTTGTTGTCCGGGTGCCAACCTGCAGGAGATGGGGAAAGAGAGGCAGGAGGAATGTTACATGATGAAAGCACCTCCCTGGAGCAAGCCCGCTGCACCCAGAGCTGTTTGAAGGCAGAAAGCAAGCCCACTGCCCCGTGCCGTGCCTGGGCATCAAGACTTGCTCTGCTCCACAGCCAGGGCATGGAGAGCGTGTCCCCAGCCCGAGCCCCCACCTTTCAGCTCGTTGCGGTTGTTGGAGGGGTGCCTGTGCTGCTCATTTTGCCGGTTGTTCCGAGAGGCCGTTTTGTCCCTAGGCACCTCTGACTTCATGTCTATCTGCAAAGGGACCCACTTGTGTTTGTTGCCTGCAAAAGGACAGGGTTTGGGTGTGACACAGGTTCAGAGAGCCTCTGCTTCCTCCCCCGCAGCCCCTTCTTGCCACACAGCTCCCACACACGGAGGAGAGAAAGCAGGGGGGCTTTGACCCAGGCCTCAAACATCCCTCTGGGCCACACTGGAGGCCAAAAGGCTCCGACTGGGGTTCTTGGGGATGGAGGAACATGACACAAAACGCCTCTGTTTCACAGCACTTGTCCTTCCTCTGCCCATTTCTGCCTGGCGAGGGTCAGGCCAGACCGAGCCCACGTGTCAACCATGGCTGATGTAACCCAGTCAGGGGCTTTTCTGTGCCACCACAGAGTGCACTACTACCACACTCCCCAGACAGACACACAGACGCCCCTACTTGGGCCCTATTCCACATGTTCCCACCAAAATGACACTTTGAAGCCTGTAAACACCTTTTAACCACGGCTGTCCCTGCACTGGGACCACGTCCCACAACAAGACCGCCAGGAAAGCAGTAGACACTTCCAGGGTGGGTCACAGAAGGGGAGACAGGCTGAGCCTGGGGGGTTCTGTCCTTTCCAGGTCCTGCCTTACCTTTCTTCTTCTGGGCTGACTTCTGGTTGTCATCGTCACCATTCTTCTCTTCCCCAGACTCATCCGATTTGGTTTTCAGGCTCTCTTTGCCGTCGCTCCCATCCCCTTTCTCCTGCTCTTTCATGTCTTTCTTGACAGGCAGTTTCCGAAGGGCCGGTGCTTTGTGCGGCTGCTGGAGACACACCAGTGCAGGAAGATGTGAGAGGTGGGAGAAACAAAGACCCCAGCTGTCCCAGCAGGAGCAGGACCTCACACTAGGCTGGGGGCATCCCTGCTCTGTGCCTCCCAGAGCTGTCCTGTTCCTCGGGAAGGGCTTATGTCTGAGCAGGGCAAGTGGCTCTACAGATGCTGGGAAGTACTCAAGCTCAGACACAAGCCCCAGGCACAGAAGTCACCGAGAGGGACTGCCAAGGAGCCCTGGTGCTCCTGGATGGGGGTGTCCTACAAGGAATCAGACTGCCCCAATGGCAAAAGGGTGAGTGACCCTCGTGCCCTGACAGACAGCCAGGAGCTGGCAGAGCAGCATCCAGAAATAGAAAGGTTTTAACACCACCCACATCCATAGCAGGAGAGGAAAGCCATGCCCCTGGGGTACATCAGCCCTTTCTTACATGTGTTTTCAGTTTCTCCTGTGGAAATCCTGGCTTTCGCCCAGGCCCCTTCTTGCACTGAGCAGCCCTGAGGTGAGGCAGGTCCAGGAGCTGCCCTACCTGCTTCACCCAGCCTGGGGGTTTAAACTGGGCTCCAGGTTCCCAGAATAGCACTGAGGGAGGGAGTCCAAACACACAGGGCAGCCCTAAAAGGAAATCCCCTGCACACTATTCCTGGCTGCCTCCATGCTGACACTCAGCACCCCAAATGGCCTGGCTCAGCCAGGGCTGCCAAAGGGACAGGGAGGTTTGGGAGAGCCTTATCCTGCTCCCCGGAGCGATTCCGTATTCTCACCTGCACGCTCTTGTGGGCTATTTCTCCAGGTGTTGGCCAATTTGTGGCATCACCGAAGTCACCAACCTTGTATCCAAAGAGAAAGGTCTCATTAGTGCACAAGCAGCAGATGCTGTTCCCTGCATCAGCAACCAGAAGCCGCACTGTCACAGCCACCACCCACTGCTGTCCTGCAGATGGCTGTCCCCAGGAGTTCTGGGGGTGACACTCAAACTGCATACACACAGCCCCTCTCCCCACCCAAGCAGGGTCCCCAAATTAATCCCATATAACTGCAGACAAGTTTATGACTACCAGGGATTGTAATGAGGCTGCCATCAGCTCTGTGAGCTCTCAGTCTCCCAGCTCCCACCAAACATTCTGCCCCAGCAGTAGCATTTGGCACTAAGTTGCCCAGGGCAACTCACTCCTCACAGGCACCATCCCTTGGACAGGGAAAGCACAGAGCTCTCAGCATCCTAAATGCATCTGAGGCAACCACATCCCGTTAAAGAAGCTGCCTCCACCTAGTGGCAGGTTACAGCCCAAAACAGCTTCACTTCAGGGCACAACTGCAGCCAACTGCTGGCAACAACAAAGCAAAGGGACCATGTAGTAGGACTGGTAGGAAAATTCAGGCAGGTATCTGATGGTGATGGGATCTCCCTCGTTCCCAAGAGCCCATGGCCACATGGGGGACCACCAGTCAGCTCTCTGCTGAGTAAGTAACTGGTAAGTAGCCACTACCATCATTTTTACCTCTTCCACGTTTCAGAGAAGACCTGCAGGACAGAGCGGGAAGGACCCAAACAGCTGCCCAGATACACAATGAATCATAACTGGGCACTGAATTTATCTGGGCACAGATAAACTCTTGTGGGGTTTGCCCTTGTGGGGTTATTATTTCTAAATTAATTTGGAGTCACTAAGTCCCTCAGGAGATCCCACCTCTACATCCAGGTGCTATGCTCCTCTCCCCAGGAGGCAGGTCTCCTGGGAAAGCCACTTCCAGTGCAGGGCCATGCCCATTTCACAGACAGGAGCACCTTCCATCCCCAGGGCCCTCCTCTCCCCAAGATGGAACAGATAAGGAAAGTCATATCAAGTTTCAGATGTGCCTTCAATGCCTGCTGGGAGCCAACACCAACAGCCCATGTCTGTGCCCCAGCTGTATGCAACATCCTTAGAAGCAACTGTCCCTCCATCATATGTTGATCCCTTGGAACAGATTGCCCTGGTTCCTCCAAACAAGTTGCTTTGTTTGAAAGCAATTACCCTGACTCTCTGCGTGCCAGTAAAGAACAGATTGCACAGGAAAGAAAGACCTGTGGACACATCACTCTCATATCATTGCCTGTCTGCACTGCAAAGCAGGGTGCTGGCTAAGTCCACAAGGGACTTGGGGTGTCCTTGGGATGGGGGGTAGAGGCTTTCCACATCCAGGACTGCACTTCAAGTGCTTCCCTGCAAGAGGGGAAGTGAGAAGGTCTCCCCGGGCCTAGCTGGCCAGAAGACCAAGTCCAGGCAGCATGCAAGACTAGGCCAGAACATCAACCCCTCCACAAGCAGTCTGCTCACCAGACCCCCAAGACGCTCATGTAGAGCTCAAAACTGCACCAGAAGCTGAAGGCCAGCCAGGGGGGTGGCCAGCACAGCCTTACCTTGCTTCCTTTCCGCTGTCTTGGGTTGGCAGCCCTCACCACCTTCGCAGGAGTTGTATGTTCTGCAAGAAGAGGAGAACAAAACTGTTAAAACACAGCTGAGGGCTGCAGAAGTGTTAGCTCTGGAGGGAAGCAAGCCAGCTTCGGCAAAGTAGGGCTAAGAGGAAAAGTGAACAGAAAACAGAACCAACTTCTGCCCTGGGTCTCAGAGGGGCCCCATCAAGATCAGAGAACTCCCGATCAGTCCGTGCGGCCAAGAAAAGGACCTTTAACCCCATCCAGCCACAGGAAGGCACTCCCTGACTTAGCTCAGCCCTCCCCAGTTGGCCTTGCCAGCCGGGGAGGAGGGGTGGCGAGGAGTTCAGCTCGCTCCCTAAAACGCCACACAGAACTTGATCTGCCGTTATGCACAGCAAAACAAACATGCCCTTGAACAGGCAAGGCCCATCACCGCGCCAGTGCAGCCAGCCCTCCCCAGGGAGCAGAGGAGGGATGCAGGAGTCTGCAGCACACCAGTGCTGCTCGCCTCCTGTTTTGATCTCCAGTGCATCCCAGCACAGGGCAGCAAGTTCACGAGAGGGAATGTACGGAGAGGAGGAGCCAGACCTGGGAAGCATATAAATCCTGCTACAGCCAAAGGTATTTAGGTACTTGGGTGCCTCTGGGGTGTTTTAACACGTCAGAGCGCAACTGTTTGGGTTCACGCCACCATGGACCTCACCACAAGACCTGCAGCAAGTCAAGATCTCAGCCCCACCATGGCTCCTGCTCACACACCACCTCCTTACAAGCAGAAAAAGAAATTCGACTTGTTTTCTCCCTCCCGAGTTTGGCGGCAAGGTCTCTGGATCAGGAGTGGGATAACGCAGGGCATGCAGAGTCCAACAGAGCAGCACACTGCCACCTAACACAAACCAGCCCTGAGAGGGCCACATATGAGGGTCACCTCTGCAGGGAGAGGAGAGCCCACCAGCCCCTGCCTCAAGGGACAGTCCGTGCCAGGTGCCACGCACCCAGGAGTGAGCATTTCTACTGACTCTACTGGCTTCGTTTAAAAGAAAAGCACCCCAGACTGGGGTAGGGGGCAAGGGTGGGAGGGAGGTGAAGAGCAGAGCCCCAAGGAATGGTAGAGGCTATCCAGGGACGCCCCAGGAAACACCTTGAAGAGCCTACCCAGCTCCACTCAAAGCTGGCTTTGATCTCCTGCGTAAGGTAGGACAACTTTGCCTAGATGATCAAAACCGGTCCCATTCAGAGCCTCGAAACCTGTGATTCATCCTGCCAGCCCAGCCTTGCTCAGAGCTGGAGGCTTTGAAGTGTCAATAAGGCAGAGTCAGGCATGGCAGGACGGAGCCACGTGCACTCTCCTTCCCCGGTTCCCTTCCCTAAGGCTCCTGCGTGGGGATTTCACCCCCAGGAGAGTCCAACCTCTCAGTTAGGTCCCCAAATCCTCTCTTTTTCCCCCAGGACTTCCCCAGCCCACCTCTGTCTGCCTCATGCCATGAGCAGCAACAGTCCCACATGTCCCCCATTTATTCCACGTGCACCTCATTGAGAATCCCGGTTCCATGGCACAAAGCTTGCCACAAGGCTTTTAAACTTCCCTGCTAGCGTAGGAAGAGCAAGCGCTTTCAAAACAGCCCCTAAAATCCTCCACTCAACGCCCACATATGTCACCAACTAAATATAGCATCAAAAGGCACCAAGTGCTACTGCACAAACCCGCAGCCAGCCTGGTTTTCCACAGGTACAGAGCACCCCTGCCTGCTCCAACAGCGCTGACATGCCTGGCATCGTGGAAAAAAATAACTGAACTTGCTCTGCAGCCTGATTAGGCACCAATTTCTGGCTGGGGGAGAACAGGGCTCCCTCTCTCACTGCTAGCATCTCACCCGGGCGCCTGCTCGCACCACACGCAGCCCCAGGGTTTGCAGTAATGGCATCCAGCCCTTTTCTCCAGCTGCTTCAGCTTAGGAGCCTCGTGGCCATAGAGGTTCTTGTGCTTTTTTGGGGTCCAGTCAAAGAGAAACCCCCTCACAACCTCTAGTGAAAGAGGATGCAGAGGCACAGGCTGCAAGGGTGGGTGCCACAGACTCCATCATCTTCTCGGGGGAGGGAGGAGATTGTTTGAAACAAGTTCTGCTGGTTTCCTTATCTGCAAGATAGAAACAGGGATCCCTTATCTAGCTGAGGTGCTGAGAAGACTAATTAGCATTTGCAGAGAGCCCCGCGGAAGACAAAACACAAAGCAAAGCTGCAGCCTGGCAGGGAGGCTGCTCCAGGGAGTGCAGCCAGGCCAGCAGGCGGGGGCTGCAGGCGTGGATGGATCTGCAAGTCATGGTTGAGACTGCTCAGACCAAGGCAGGAGACCGAGGGGGTGTGACTATGCCAGAGGACAGACAGACACACCATCCACCAAGCCAAGAGTCATGGCAATCAGAAGCTGTACACACCAGGCAATCAGAAGCTCTGGGGTATACCAGCCCTAACCCAAAGGTCCATCAGTGATTCTGCAGTCAAGCTTCTGGACGTCAAACCCCAAACTGCTCATGTTCCCTTGCAGGCACTCTAGCAGACTCTAGTTTCAAAAAAAGCAAGCCTAACCCACCCAAAACACATTTAAGCCACCCCAGGTGCTTAGACTTCAGAAGAAAACCTTCCTACAAGGACAGCAACACATCTTCTGGTGGTCAGCTGAAAAGGTCCCCTTGCCAAACCCCACTGCATCAACCTGGGAAAGAAGCAGCAAGTGGGTATTGCTTAAACACACACAGGAGCTCTGGACAAGCAGTGCTAGTGAGGGATACTAAATACTGCCCCAGTTGATAGCTGAGCCCTTAAAAGCTGCTGACAGATGTCCCAGACCTCTCAGCATTTCACAAAGATCATTTTCTGCATTTATTTGGTGGCTGTAAATAATCTTCAGTTGCACTGTCTCCACCTGAAGCTTCCCCCCCAAAAACAGGGACCCTCCACGCGAGGGGACAGACAAAACAGCTAAACCAGGGGTTTAGGGGTGCAAGACTGGCTAGGGGGCAGTGGGCAGGGAAGGCAGGAGAGGCTTTGCCTGCAGCCACAGAGAAGATGCTGGCACAGCCAGGGACAGAAAAGCAGGTCTTGAGTTTTCATCTGCTGCCTGCAGCCAGAACCAGATTTGCCCTTGGGATTACTCCACCAAAGAGTAGGCTATTTCTTAACAAACGAGGGGACAAAGCACAGGTGGGAGACCTGATGCTGGTATTGCAAACCCTTCCCATGGCCAAGGCACAACCAAATCATTCATTGGCTTTTGATGCTCACTCCTCAACACACCCGAGCACCAAGAAGGGTGTAGAGACCTTGTGCTTTCCTTCCAGCCCATGGCTGGCAGTGGCACAGCAGACCTCGAGGTGGGAAGCTCACAGGGGTGTCCAGGTGAGCCAACACCTCACACTTGGAAGGAGAAGAGCCATCGCACAGGGACTGGACAGCCAGGGCCAACAGTAGCCCCACAGCTACGTGTGTGCTATAGGACAACCATGCTCAGCCTAGGAGACACTTTACTACTGTACCCAGGCAAATCAAACCCAATGCCCAATGGCCTGGTTCCCTGCTTTTTCCTTACATGCAATGCAGCTTTTAATGGATTTTTAGAGAAGGCAGAAGATGTGGAATAAATTTGCAGGGTTGAGCAGAGAAATACCTGCACCTCCAGCAAGAAAGCTGTAGTGCCTGCTCCTGGTGCACCACTCATATGGAATGCGGACAAGGGCTCAGAGCATCCCAGCACCAGGTGGGACAGCCCCGGAGAGCAGCCCGTGCTCCCAGCAGAATGCAGAGTCCTCGGCTCCAGCGCACACTCTGTCCCTGACACAGCACAGCTCTCCTTCCCCGGCAGCCAAGTCAACAGAAGGGAGCCGGCCTGTCCCCGAGCCACTTCAGCCCACAGCCTGGCACCCTGGAGAAACTGCTGATGAAGGCAGTTTTGAAGCCAAGAGTCTGGACTTTGTGCTGGAGAGGCTGAGACAGGGGCTCACGCTCCATGTCGCAGGTCCTGCTGGGGCTGGAAGAGCTGAACTTGTATCCCCAGTTTCCCCAGAGTCCTGGTAGAAGCCTGAGGGTACCATGCAGGACAGCTGGCCATGCGCCCAGTGGTCCAACGGGATCCATTTCATCACTCAACAGTCTCCAAATGATTCTCCCTCCCCCCCAGACTCTGTGGGATGACACTAGCGCACGTGAGGACCACATCCCACACCCAGTGCTAGGGGACAGTCCCGCCAGCAATGCTTCTTCAAGGTCTCCAGGTGAGGAAGAGCAAGTGCAGCTTGGACAAGAGTGAGCTGCGAGCCCCGAGCAGGCCAAGGGGCTGGGCAGGTTGCAAGCGAGAAGGGGAATAGTGCCCCAGCCAAAATGACTAGGCCAGGAAAAGGTATGGCATTAACCTCCTGAGAAACCAAAGGACACCCAGGTATGACAACTTCTGAGTAAAGATAGAAGCCATTAGACAGCTTACACTACACCTAAGAGGACTAGTAGTTGCTCACACTATTTGTACATACACACTCATTGTCTAGGCACCAAAAAATCAGCCCAGAGATTAGTGGTTTCCCCTAGAGGTAGTTAGTTCCTTCAGAGTCTTTAGAGGAGGGCAAGAGAGTCCCTCCTGGGACACGAAGCACAAGACAGATGTGGTGGAACAGCACTGACCTGCAAGGCAATTCCCATAAGAAGGGCCATGCAGGCAGCCAGCCAGAGCCAAGCCTGCCAGGACCCCCCACCATGGCTGCAAGAATCCCCTTGCTGGTCCCAAAGGAGACCTAGGGAGTCAACAGAAAGTGTGCCGATGTGGGAAACTCAGGACACCAACTCTGCCTTTTACCTTCTACATCTCAAGCAAGCTCTCTCCCAGGGTGGCCGGATCCACACAGCAGCAGGGGCAGGACACTGATTTGGAGGCTCTCCTGTAGCACCCATCACTGCCTACGCATTCAAACTCCACAACTTGGGAGTTTGAGCCTGACTGAGCCACCAGAGGACATAGCTGGTAAGCTTTGCGCCCACCAACACCATCCCGTCTCTG